TTAAAGAGAATCATGTTAGAAACAGAAATAGAAAGAAAAGTTGTTTTGAGAAAAATGTCAGTCCTAAAGCTGTGAAGTAGTCAAGAAAAAAAATACGAATTTGAAACCTAAACGACTTGTAAAATATGATGCCAAACAGGATTATTAGAGAAACAACAGATTTGTTGTTGATGATCTGATAATGTATAAACTTCAAAACAAAGTATTCATAGTGTTTTAGACTTTTATATTCATCCATCCACCATGTATCATTTCATCCATCCATTCACACTGTCATCTGTATTAACTGAATCCATCCTTTCCATCCATCCATTCACCCATCCATCATCCATCCATCCTAACTTTATTAAATCTTTTCATCGATTGATCCATCCATCCATCCATCATCCATCCTAACTTTATTAAATCTATTCATCGATCCATCCATCCCTATTCAACCTTAAATCAATCCATCCATCCATCCATCCATCCAAAAATCCATCCATCCATCCTAACTAATCCATCCATCCATCCATCCATCCATCCATCCATCCATCCATCCATCCTAACTTTATTAAATCCATTCATCAATCCATCCATCCTAACTTTATTAAATCCATTCATCAATCCATCCATCCTAACTTTATTAAATCCATTCATCAATCCATCCATCCTAACTAATCCATCCATCCATCCATCCTAACTAATCCATCCATACATCCATCCTAACTAATCCATCCATCCATCCATCCATCCATCCATCCTAACTTTATTAAATCTATTCATCGATCCATCCATCCATCCATCCATCCTAACTGTATTAAATCTATTCATCGATCCATCCATCGATCCATCCATCCATCCATCATCCATCCCTGTTCAACCTTAAATAAATCCATCAATCCATCCATCATAAATCCATTCATCCTAACTAATCCATCCATCCATCCATCCTAACTAATCCATCATCCATACATACATACATACATACATACATACATACATACATACATACTTACAGTACATGAATTGATCTTCATCCTTTAATCAATTAATTCATCTATCTATCTTCTATATATCCTATAATCCATCCTTCCACTCATAGCAGTTGTCAGTATTCTGTCATTCCAAAATGTAGCCATCCATTCACCTAACTGTCCGCATGTACTGTAAAGATCTGCCTTTCTTAACCTCTAGAAAGCACAAAGTAAGCACACTGTTTTGTACACCAGCAATCAATGGTTTAGACCAAGAGGGATGAGATTTCACTCTCTGAGTGAGGGATGACATCAATATAAAACGTTCACCCTAAACAAGTCGGAAAACACCTTCAGTTCTTGCACTATGTCCCATTGATTTCTGCTCAGCTCAACACAGATTCTGCAGCATTTAGACATTTAACTCCCTTTCAAGCAAAGTCATTACACAGTGGAGCATTTAATTAAGCAAGCACAGCGGTGCAATCTGGATGATTCAGTGTCTGTGGACCAAATTAACATATTTGTGCCTTTGCAGTCTCTGTCAAAGCTGATTTCGACACATTTTTTTCTGAGTATCTTGTTTGAATAGCGTTATAAAAATAAAAATAAAAATCTAGGTAAGATGTTTAAATTCCCGAAACAAAAATCCTGATTTCAAATGTTCAGCTGAGCAAATGAACAGATCRGTTTGAAACAGAAGAAGCAAAGTGTTCACGGCTGACCTGTTTCCAGCATGTAAGACAACATTTTAGGGGCATGGCCACAGATGTGTCTGAGGATGTATCGRGGAGGTGCTCTCACCTCTCTATCCCTCTGTGAAAAGGTACAGCCTATTGCTTTGTGTGTACGCACTTAAATTGCGCCCAAATCCCCTAAGTGACACCAAAAATTCAAACTGTTCTTAGTGGGTCAGTCACTAGTGTGAAGGTTCAGTGTTAAAAACACAAAACGAGAGGAAAAAGCACAAACAGAGACCAAAACAGTTACATATCACACATATGCACATGCAAAAACCAGAAGCTTGTGGCATTTTAGCTTGTATTTGGAAAAGGAACCTAATTTCATAATGGCACACACCCCATTTGCATTTCAAAAACTAAATTTTTCCAAAACTTGAACTCTGACATTCTAAACTCAGACTACATGTGTTAATCAAAGTCAAAACTTAATCCAGGCCTGATAAGATGCTCCATTTAACAAGCTCGTCTTTAGCAGGGGGCTCGATCGGGTGAAATGAAGAGGAACTGATTGCTTGTGGTGATTGTGCTGATTACATTTTAAATTTAAAACTTTTTTCCCCCTTCTCCCCCAGAGCACCATCCTGAAGAGTTACACACGCAATGACTGAGCAAGTTTAGGAAGTGTCAACATCTTTACATCCTATAGAACCTCAGAGAAATATGATACTTATTTCAAATTTTTAAACATTCATCCATATTTTATTGCTTCCACACCCATGTGACTGAAACATTTTTAGCAAATTATGCAGACTTATTACCATGCTAAAACCTCAAAAAGCTGCCTTCTATAAGTCAGAAAAACATTTTAAATTATCCTGTTTATCATTTGCCAAAGCAGCATTAATCATCTGCATGGTTTCAAAATTTAATAAAACAAGCCTGTTTTTTTAGCAGCGTGTTCAACATTTCTGACCTTCCATTTGTTTACTCCGACTGCAGCCTGAATTCACRATGATGGGGCTGTTATTACCCCCCACCCATACATATTTTACATGGTTGTACTATAAATGTTGTATAAATTACATTCAAAAATATACAACCCAATCATTTGCATTAAATACATTTTTGCATGCATGCAGTGCATTATGTGAAGAGATGTTTATGTTCATCTCAATGCCCTCCATTAAGAATGATCATGCAATCTGTATACATGAGGTTTTAAAACTAGAACAAGAGAAATACTTGTAAATGTCAAGTAGTTTGAAATGTTTAATCTTTCAGTTGACCTAAACACTGGACTGGATGCAGGCCAAGTGGGCATTCAGAAGAATCACAGTATAAGCTTGTGTTAATGCAAAATCTCAAGAGGCCTGAGATATGTGCCATCAAACCAGCAGAAAACCTATTCCAGCAGCAGAAACGGTAAACCCCGCAAATCATTTTACACAGCAGGCTGCCTGAATTTAGGCATCGAGGTGGGTTCACCTGGTGGTGAAGTATCAGTTTCTGTCTGGAAAAAAATATCACTCAATCTTTTTTTCTTTTAAACAGGTTGCTATGTTTGCATCTTATCATTGTAGGTTTGACACTGAAGTAAAACAACTGTCAAGAAAAAAATGTTGAAAAGCAGAAAAATGTTCTAAGATTTCTCTCAGTAGTCTGCTCTCAATGTTCATAATGTTTTTGCAATAAATACAAATGCATTGAAAAAAATCATGCAGCTGAGATGAACAGTTGTTGAAAAACTGTGAGCCTCCAAAAAAAAAAAAAAAAAAACCACACGTTTCGCAGTTTACGGACTCAGTCTTTCTTGGATTTTTCCATGGAACCTAACTACTAGGTAAACTTCAAAAATATGAAGAAATGGAAAAAAAAAACGTAAATACTTTATGTGCTGTATGTATGGAACATACTTATTGTATTTACCGTTATTTTTCCAGGCAAGTCCCRTTGAGATCTCAGATCTGGGCCTGAAGGCAACATATTCTACATGTTTTTAGGGGTGGGGGAAACCGGAGTATCCAGAGAAAACCCACGCAATCACGAGGAGAACATGCAAACTCCACACAGAAAGACCCCAGGTCCRAACCGGGGATCGAACCCAGGACCTTCTTGCTSYGGGGCGTCAGTGCTAACCACTGAGCCGTCGTACTCATGCTTTTTCATAAGTTTKAAAGCTAGATTCTGAACACAATTTTGGTGACTCAAGGATAAATAAACATGTTAWCATATTGTAATTGGCATTAAAATTCCCTTCGATTATCAAACACTGTACTTGGGTGCTGTACCTTCGCTAGAATGAAGCAGAAAAAAATATGTTGTGAATAACTGTACGCTCCTGAAGGAAATTTATTCTGTTTACTACTGATTTTATTGCATCACACATACTGTTTTATTTCGAGGTTAACTAGAATATATTTTGATTACTACCTATCTACTTATTTTGCCTAATCATCTGTTTTTATGATGAAACTGTGATTTAGTTGAGGTACAATCTGATTTGAGTGACACGTGGTTGACTCAAATAGATTGTGCTCTCTTTGATACATTTAGTTAATACACGCCTTAATTWCACTGATCACACAGATATTTTTCTCATCAGCTGACAGGAAGTGTGTCACCTGGTTGGGAAGATTTCCTCCACTGGTGTAATGAATTGAAGTGGGCGGGGCCAGATTCTGAAGATGGTGTTTAAAATAAGATCGTATTTATTACGTACCGTACTGATTCGGCRCTACTTGCAATGAAAATAAATGTCTCTGTTTGGCCCAACACTGGTGTTGTATGGTCTACATTCTTACATTTAACATTCAAGTATATTTGGTATTTATGTCTGGTTGTCAACACGCAATGGAGCAAAGTGAACATGCTTTTCTTTTCACTCCTGATATATGTTTGGGTGATAATGTAAATTGATTCTGTGTACTGAAAATGTTAAAAACAAAAGTTATTTTTACAAAAGTACTGTTGAATTCCTGAACTCCTGTCTGTGTTTGGTCCCAGTACAACTCATTATCCACAAATGAGATGTGTTTAAATGTTCTTCTTCTTTGTTCTGATTTTCTCCACATCAGGTCTAGTTTGGGAATTTTCAATATCAAAAATGTGGAGTCCAAACATGCTGACGGATGCTTTCTATGATTACTAAAGTTGTTCTGCAGAGAACAAGAGTGAAATAGAGTTGCTGATAAAGAATTATTTCACAAAAAGAAAAAAAAATCAATGCAAATCATTTTTTTTTTAGAAATCAAACTTGGTACTGGAACTTGTAAAAAAAGAATCTCCCCTAATGAAATAATGAGTATTATAAAGCCATGTACGTCTATAGACAAACCAAACAAATGAGAGTAAAGAGGCCTACCTTGAGGTCGAAGGTGTGAAAGTCAAGGAACATTCTCCCTCCTGAGACCTGTGACAGAGAGAGAGGATGAGACGTCAGTCATGATTARGCCACAGTGCAATTACAGAGCAACTCCTCTGACAGTGATTGATCAATGAGGAACTCCTTTAATGAAGACAAGGACTCTGGGTCTACCACGAACAAATTGGCAAAAGTWAGAGGTGGGGAATAGTGTCCCAGATTGCTTAGGCGCTAAGAGGATCATCCTGTCTGCAGCACAGCAGACGCTGATAGAAATACAGTATGCACAGGTGATGGACTACAGTTTGAATGGAAATCAAATAAATTATTGGCAAGGCTATTAAAAGTTAGGTGGTGATTTTGTTCATCRTGAGAACACATTTTCAGCAGTAATTCACGATTCTTGAATAAACTTTAAAGCAATTTATTTAAATACGAGAAAAAAACACTTTCAAGGTCAAGACAGACTCAAATAGTAGTTCTGAAAATATTTTTCTTCCAGTTTTTAATAGCTGGTTTATAGACAATTCGTTTCTTTTTAGATTTATATCATTTTTAAATGAAAGAACAGTGTGCAAATTTCTAGGGCCTATGTATTTTAATATGTCCGTTCCTTAAAAAGAGTATTCATAAATTTTGAATGTTTCCTGTTGTGGTTTTAATCTGACAAAATTCAAAGATTCAAACAGGAAAATTTAGTATTTTAGAAATGGTACAATAAGATTGGTAAGACTACACACAAATAATTCAATTCAAAAATACTTTTACCATAGAACATCAAAAAAGATAGTTTAAACCTTTATTTCAAAACAGACAAAATAAAAAAAATTTATATATACTGCATATATATATACAGTATATACTGTAT